GTAAAAAAAAAAAAAAAAAAAAAAAAAAAACTGCCATATTTTTATAAAATGGTTTACTCTGACCAACTTTCTCATACAAACATAAAACAATGATAGGCAGACCACTGCTAAATTTTAACAGTAAATACTACACAAAACTAAATTCAGACCAGAAAAATTAATTTCACAAGAGAACACTTTACCTTGGGAGCAAGAGCTAAGTCATCATCTGATGGAGGCCTTGAATCATCAATATCACGTTTGGGTGAAACTCTTTGGAGCAAAAATACACATCAAAAATAAGTGAGTTCATTTCTTTAAACAAACAAGTCACAAAAGTCTATGCTGAGGGATAAGAAAGCAGATTTGGGAGCCAGGCTGCCTGATGGTCAAGTCACATGTCAACTACTTGCTAACCATGGAATCATGGGCCAACTAGTCAACCTCCTTAAGCTACAGTTGCCTAGTTAACTAACAGTAACCTGTAACAGCACAGCTACTCTGCAAAGCTGTTGTGGTGACTGTACGAGGTAACAAATGTCAAGTACATAACTCGGTGTCTAACCCAGAGTAGGACACTCAACAAGCCTTGTTTCTTTTCTCTGTGTTCCCTTAGTCAACATGAAATTTTTAAAAATCTGTAAAATCCTACCTGATGACAGAGATGTCTTCATGACTCAGTGAAATCTCAACCACTAAATCCGCTATTAAAGAAAAAAGTAAAATAGACTTCGTACCAGCAATAGAAAAATACAGAATATTGAAAGTATAAGACCAATGTTCTGTTAACAAGCATTCCTTTCGGACCACACCTGGAGACTACGCACTTGAGTGAATACTGAGTATACTACTGGTAGGTAATTAATGCATAAAAACCACTTCCCCTCCTTTATATTTATCAAAAAAAAAAAGGGGGTGTTTATCCAAATTCGGTATCTTGAAGTGAACTGCTGTTTACAAGGACCAAAATACCAACCAAACTTTACGAGACTCACAAAAGAATGATAATCATTAGTAGAATAAGTATCATAAACTGATGACGTCAAGCTCACACAGCGTGGTGTTTCTGGACGATACCCATGGGACAAACCCACCCCGCCAATTGGCTTTGTCAGCCTCGTGTCATTGGGCACGGTCATCCCTATTCGCTCACATGCGGTCTAGGGCTGCCTTCACACTGCAATGGCAGACATGAGTAGATGTGACAGGCACCACATGGCCTGAAATATTGACCCTCTGGCCCTTTATAGAAAAAGCTTGTGCATCCCTGCTTTATGTCATAACCAGGAAACCCTAAGACTCAAATCGAATCTTCTTACTCTTCTGCTCAACATTCTTCAATGGATCCATGCAGCTGCCATTGCTGGTTCCCAACTTGACAACCATTTCTTCTTTGTCGTCCTTGCCAGACAACTGCAACTTTTCTTGGATGTTTTCTGCCCCAGTATGCGAAGAAGGTAAACTCTTCTTAGCTGCAAAAAGAGAAATGATTATTCTGCGGTCATCACAGTAACTACATCTCTTTCCCCCGTGGCTGGTTTAGGAATGAGCATGCGATGTAGCCCAGCCAGTAAGATGCTAGGGGAAGTCTACCGGAAGCGTCTCTGTTTTCTTCCTCGTTAACAGGAAACATGCAGAGAGAAGCAGCCCTCCTCACCTGCGGATACTGTCATGTGAGAAGATGACGCTTGGAGCTGCTGCTAATCAGCAGACCAGGAAAGGCGACATCAAACACCAGCAGCCTCACAGCTGAAGGAGGGACAGCATCTGGGATCCTGACGACATCACCGAACCTTCTAAACAATCCTGACTCCTGTTGCTCTAGCCACCGTTACTTAGGCCTCCTATTACTATTCGCAGCTAAAAGCATTCTGACACATCTCCCAAGGTCTACAGCAGACCTCCTCCTTTCTATAGTACTCGAAAGGCTTTCAGAAGCGTGCCTGAGCTAGGTAGTCACCTCGTTCCCAACCATTCCTACAGCATCCTTCCTGCACCAACAAAATGAAACTCAT